TTTGCTTCCTGCGGAGGGTCGTGTCGGAGCAGTCCGGCCGGGCCCTGCCCCCCGGGCAGCTGGGTTTCAGCAAGCCCCCGGCCCAGCCCCACGAGCGGGCCCTCCTGGTGGCTTTTTCGCACAGCAAGCGGAAGGAGAATCTCTTCAAGGAGATCCGGGACCAGGTGAAAGCCCTGGGCAGCCCCCCGTTCCTGGAGCCCCCCGATCCTGGCCAGGAGCCCCCCGCCACGCCGAGGAGGAGGCGCAGGACCACCCTGGCCGCTCGCTCTGGGGGGAGAGGGCAGGGCAAGAAGGCAAAGACACGGTGCAGCCGGAAGCCCCTGCATGTCAATTTCAAGGAGCTGGGCTGGGACGACTGGATAATCGCCCCGCTGGATTACGAGGCGTACCACTGCGAGGGGGTCTGCGACTTCCCCTTGAGGTCCCACCTGGAGCCTACCAACCACGCCATCATCCAGACGCTGATGAACTCCATGGACCCCGAGTCCACGCCCCCTAGCTGCTGCGTCCCTTCCAAACTCAGCCCCATCAGCATCCTCTACATAGACTCCGGCAACAACGTGGTTTACAAACAGTACGAGGACATGGTGGTCGAGACGTGTGGCTGCAGGTAGCAATTCCTGCAGCCCCGTTATTCCAGCAGCCAGCCCAGTATAGATCTGTTTCGTGTGTACCGGCACAGGAGGATGAATTCCAGTCCTGGAGACGCACCGTCGAAGCACCCTGGGTCTGCTCTTTAACACTCTGCCTACAGTATCTAATGCGCATGGAGGGATGGGATTCTGGGAGCAGGATCATTCCCTGGGTGCTACTGGCTGCCCCCAGGGACAGTAGATTTGTATCCCAACCTGATCGTAAATATCGTGCTGAAACTTCACACAAATGGGCACTTTAAAAGGGAGGAAATATGTGACTGTTTTTTTCTGGAATTACAATCTCCAATATACTTACCCAAACATTGCTGTCCCGCCCAGACTAGGAGGTCATCTGAGGAGAATCCGTGGTGGTAATAATCCAGGCTGGCTCCTTTGCTTGCTTTCTTGTTGAAACTGCCCGCTTCTGTTCACATTGCTTGTGTTGACATTAGGTTTTGACCCATCCCTGTTGACACAAACTGCAGTTCTTCTCCCTCCTTCCCCAGATGACACCAATCTTCCAGGGCCAGAAACACACTAGAATTAGGTTTGATTAGTCCCTCTAAATTTGGACCCAATCCTTCACGATTCGATGGCTGTAAAAATTTACTTTGGGGGAAAGGAGCTCTGGTTCTGACCCTGGAAGGATTTTTCTATATACTCTGTTAATAGGGTTAAATCATTTTAATCCCTGTCCTGCACTGTATGCACACCAATGACCATGTTCTGCTCCCTTTTGTGCAAGGGATGATATGGAGTCACTCTATGGAAGTGGATGGAGTTTCTCTAGATTTTCACCCATTTATATGAGATCAGATTTTGGTCTCAAGTACCTGTCATATGGTGCTACAGAATGGAGAAAGGGTAATAATACTTTGCTCTTTAGTGTACATCAGGAGTATCTCAATGGAGTTAAACTGGTGTAAAGTTGATGTAAGTGAGAGGTGAATCATAACTAGGCATCTTACTGACCTATTCAAACAATGGCACAAGTGATTTGGAACTGACACAAGTCTTACCAACATAAAAGAAATAGACATTGACTGGCTTGAGAAGCTTTCTATGATCTCTTAAAATTGCAACAATTTCCAAACTATGTAACTGTGCAAATGATTTGTCCACAATGGGACAAAACTTACCCCATCTGTTCAATTTAAGTGGGGCTACTCACCTCCGTAAGCACATTTTTGCCATTATGCTATTCATTCTCAATTATGTGCTGAATAATGGACACATCATCAGGAACAAAAATGAGAAATTGCCAAGGAGCCGCTAAAGAATTTTAACAATTGAGAACTTGCTCTTTGGGCTAGTGGGAGAGAAACAAAACTTCAGGCCTCATCCTGCTTCCCTTTTGCAGGCACAGCTCCCATTAGGTTCAATCAAATCTTGATTGTATAAATTCCCAGGGTTTGATTCTGGTTTTACATTAGAGTAAATTACACTTGTTGAAAAATTGGAGAGAATTTAGAAAAAGCTACGAGTATGATTCAAGGTCTGGAAAGCCTCCCTTAAGGCTCTCACAGCAATAGGTCAATCTATTTAGGTCATTCAAGAGAAAGTTAAGAAGTGCCTTCATCATGAGTTGCAAGCGCCAACATGGAGAAGAGATTTCCCAAAGCAGAAGGCTCTTTAAACAAGCAGGAAAAGGTATAATGAGGATCCAATGTGTGTAAGCTGAAGCTAGACAAATTCAGACTAAAAAGTAGGTGAGAATTTTTAACAGTGAAGGTAATTGACCAGCAGAACAAGGTACCTAGTGAAGTGATGGTCAAAGTATTTAAATCAAGACTAAATATCTGTCCAGAAATCTAGTATGGCTCAGAAGATGTGGGCTAGATGGAGATATGGGCTATGTCAGACAATATTGAACTATCGGAAAAAGGTATGCAAATTGCACTCTGCGATAGTTTTTTCAGATAGTTTTTTCGGAAGAGGCTTTTCCAAAATTTGGTCTGTCTACACTGGGCCAAATTTTGGAAAAGCCTCCTCTTTCAGAAGATCCCTTCTTCCTTGTGGGAGGACTTTCAAAAGAGCACACCTGCTCTTCCACAAAAAAAGCAAAAGAGCAGACGCGCTCCCTGGATGCGGCGGAGTTTTTCCGGGATACCTCTGGATACCTCTTAATGTCCCTTTAACATATATCAATCTATGATGCTCCATTGACATTAATAAGTTGCTGCTGACTGACACCAACATGAGTGCACCACTGAGGCCAAAGACTTAAAATACTTTTTTTAATTTTTTTTGACAGAATTAAAACAAATGAATAGAGCCAGAACTTCCTCAGAGAAAATTCAGACATTTAATTAGCCTTCTTGTTTGTGCAGTCAATGCTTTTATAATAATTTGAAAATGGTTTGAGTCGTATGTTGGCATACTCACAGGGGCCAAAAAGCACTTGAGGGAAACATTCACTAATATTTACACTCTGCCCATAAAAGGTGAGCAGTTTGCTTGTGGCTACGTATGTGTTTGTAGGAGACTAAACCACAGTGTAACCCCTTAATATATAGAGAACATTAAATAGAAGCACTTTGTACTACTCAAAAGTCATTTAGGCAACCTACCATCTGCATGGCACTTATGCTCTTACGGCTGAGACACTCATGCCTCAATGAAAGGGCAGAAATGGATGTCATGGACCTGACAGTGGCCTCTGTTGCAGCTATGCAAAAGAGGGCAGCAGCTGGCCATGGATTCCGGATTTCTTAGCTGTTAGCTGAGAGTAGAATCTTATTTGCACATCTCTGTGGCAATTTAATAGGCTTTTGAGAAAATACCATATGTTTTCTAGTACTGGCTAAAATATTGCCAAATTAATACAGTAGTTTGCTTTTGTAGGAGTTAAATCAACTTTGTAACTATATATGGGTCCAAGTGGCAAAGTATGGGTTTAGATCGGAAGCCAATCTTTCCCAAAGATCAGGAATGTTTGGATCTGGGGATTTGATTTATGCTATTGTAGAGAGAGGGTGTAACCTCAAAGAACTAGATTGGGATCCAAGCTATTTCAAAGTTCAGAAGAGTTTGGATCTATAAGCTTGGGTTGGGTTCAACTCTAATGATAACAAATGCCCTGAAGAGATAATACAATTATAGAGAGTAAGCCAGGCAATATTAATAATAATGAAATGGACTCTGGGCTAGATCCTCTCGGCTTTGTCTACACTGCAGGGTTTTTGCGTAAGAAGCTTTTTGAGGAAGAGATTTTCCGCAAAAACTTCTTGCAGAAAAGCACATTCACACCTCAAAAGCGCATTGCAAAAGCGAGTGCTTTTGTGCAAGAGAGCATCCACACTGCATGGACACTCTTACACAAGAAAGTTCTGATTGCCATTAAAAGAATGGCTATTGGAGCACCTGTGCTTTTGCCAATAGGGGTTTCTTGTGCAAGAAACCCCGTGGAGCGTCCACACACACTTTTTTGCACGAGAGCTCTTGTGCAAAAGGAGTTATGCCTCATAGAAGGAGGTGTACCTACATTGCAAAAAGCTCTCTGTTCTGCTGTTTTACTGTAAATTTTTCTTGTGCAAAAACATGCTTGAGGTATGGATGCTCTGCAGGTTTTTGTGCAAAAACGCTTGGTTTTGCGCAAAAACCCTGTAGTGTAGACATAGCCCTCTGGTATAATTTTATGTTTGTTTGTCATTACATCACCTGAGGATCGGGTTCTCTAAGTCTGCAAATATAAGATTCAGTGGAGGCAAATTTTGCTCCAGTGTAAATCTGGTTTAACTCCATTGACTTCAATGGAGCCACTCTGGATTTACACCTGTGTAATTAACAAATGACAATTTGGCTTCCTACACCAGAATGAATGTAAACAAATGTTAAGTATGGCACATTCTTCAACTGGAATTATTGCAAGACACAGAGTTAACAGTGTAAAGGAAGACTTGATTCCTTGCCAATAGTGTGCGGTATGTGTTTTCTATTTCGGATCTTGTGATTTTTTTTCAGCTGACTCTGTCTCTCAGTGGTTTGAGGCTTGTAAATAATGCTAGCTAGTTGACATGCATTTCATGAGGATAAGCCATAGCAAGTACTCCTGTAAAGGTCAGCTGGAGAGTTCACAGGTTTGTTTCAAGTTTCATTGTTATTAAAGATAAAAGTTGGAGCAAGTTATTAAAAGTAAGGAGACTAACATGAACATCTCTGAGGCAATTTGTCCTGGAAATATGTAGTTTACAATGTTGCTAAGACTTTTAAGGGCTTAATTTTTCAAATGCAACTGGCTGCTTTGTGTTTTTTCTTATTGCTCAAATACTTTCCCCCACCCCTCAGTTCTCTATTTTCTAAAAATATTAGTGAGGGCGGTTCAAAGCTGGTTCAAATGTAGCTGAGCACTAGATACAGGCACAAATGGTAAATGCCAGCTGATGGCTACCTTGTCAAAAAGTTGGCAAGGAAAGAATAGGCCCTGGAAACTTACCATATTTTTCAATACTAGAGGAGGTCCCTCCAGAACAAGGTTAAGAACTATGGCAACGGGTGCAGAAAAATCTAAGGATAATATGGCTGCACTGTCCACTAAGGTTAGGTCTGTGGGACTTGGGCTTGAGGACTTGGTATTTCCAAACCCATGCTTGAGCATCCACACTGTATTATAAACCTAGGTTTACAATTGCTGGATTTAGTTCTTACAGCAAGGCTTGCATGTCCACACAGTACCACTCAGATTCTAGTCTGTGGCTTGACCTGTGTCTACACTGCAAAATGGTAGGGCTTGGACTTGACTCACATTGGGATTTGGGCTCTGCTGACCCGAGCAGGACTGATTTGTGTGTGAACAGAAGGGATGCCTGGGCTCAAACCCCAAAGCACAGGCTTACTGGACAGTACAGACATACTAAAATAGACTGAAATGTATTGTAGGGCAGGGTAGTGAAAACCTGCATTGTCCTGCTCATAGCAAATATTTTGCCTAGTCTGCAGATAAACAATAGAATTTAATCTTTTGAATTCTGCCTGGCATCGTTCATGATCACTGCATTAAAAAAATTGGGGTGAGGTTAAGGCAAAGTGAAAGAGGCTATGATAATATCCACTGTTTGTTTATTTTAGAACCAGTCTCAATCTGCTATCTGTGGCTGCCTTTCTGTTAGGTAGGCACATTTGGTTTTAGATAGGGAAAACTACAGTGGCACATCCTTCAGCACAAAGCTTTTTTGCTCCCATCTCTCTTTTTGCCTGCAAAACCTTAGCAGAAGT